GACGACGACGACGACCGCGAGGAAAGACAGAGGACGACGACGGCGACGACGAAGACGACGAAGAGCGCGCGCGCACGCTTTTGTTGAAAACCCGTGTTGCGAATCTATGTTTTTGGATGATTTTGGACACTCGATTTTGAAATCCGTCCGAAACCGACGGTTTTTGAAGGATTTCGGCATGCGCGCGCGACGACGCGCGCGCGTGCACTTCGTCCCGCTGTTGCAGAAGATTCTCGCGACGGCACGCGCGCACGGGCATTCGAAAGATTTCGGCATGTGCGCGCGCGAAGCCCGTTTGGTAGTATTTCCTGAATAGCTTGAAGAACCGATGGTTTTCTCAAGATTCCGCAAGAGCGCGCGCGTAATCTTTTTTAGGACATCAGTCTTGCGAAACCATGTGGCGTTGTATGTGTTTTGGAAGCTCGATGTTGAAACCCGTCCGAAACCGAAGGTTTTTGAAGGATTTCGACCTTTGCGCGCGACGACGCGCCGCCTTATTTGTTTAGCACGGGATTCTTAATAACTTATGATTGTCCCCGCATCCAGAGGGTGGGGTTTCTTCTTATTCTCTGACCCAGAAGGCAACAGGAGGCCCCGAGAAGCCCGAGGAGTAGGAGGCCTCATAAGGCAACAGGACTGGTTCCAATCCCATGTGTTTGACGTATGCTCGTATAGATTGGGCCTCACCTGGAGCACGAATCCTTGGTGTCATACGTATGTTTCTATTGATTGTCCTCCTCCTGTGTATACATTCCTAAATGTTTTACGTATGTTCTTATATATTGGGCCTCCCCTGGGGCAAAGTCCTTGGTGTTTTACGTGTGGTCCTATAGATTGCCCTTCTCCTGCGGCTCCGATCCGCAATGTTCTATTTACGTCTGTTCCTATATATATATATATCTCTATATATATATATATATATATATATATATATATTGGGCCTCTCCTGGGGCACGATTCCTCCCTAGGAGGTCCCAGAAGGCTCCAGGAGGCCTCAGGAAGCCACGCGAGGCTCCAGGAGGCCTCAGGAGGCCACTTCAAGCCCCAAGAGGCCCCAGGAGGCCCCAAGAGGCTCCTTGAGGCCCCAGGAGGCCCCATGAGGTTTCAGGATGCCCCAGGCTCATGCGCAGAGACGCGCTCGTACTACTGAGACTCATTCACGCTCCAATTCTTTCGCAATTCGATTCATGACCAGACCGTCACAACTCAAGCCCGCTTATATTCGAAAACTCTTGCGCCTAGACACTCACGGCGGACAGGTCCATGCGAATAGATGCACATATGAGGAGCTCCACGCAGTGATTAATTCTCTGACCACGCCGGACCCCTCATCATCATCCCTCCCCTCCCTCCTCCTTCTTTGCACTAGACGAGGATGATGCGTGTCATGATGATGACCATGGTATGGCGAGAGCATGCTGTGAGTATGATGGTGATGGTGAATGATGGATGAGTATGGTGATGCTGCTGCTGCTGCTGATGATGATGATGCTGATGCTGATGCTGATGCTGCTGATGCTGCTGATGATGATGATGATGATGATGGTGATGGTGATGGTGATGGTGATGATGACGACGATGAGCAGATGATGAGGATGTCTCGAGCGGCTTGCTGGTTTTAGCATTCCTAAAGGGGGCCGCCAGGGGGTATCGCACGGCTTCCGTTCGCGCCAAAATGGCGGGGATGTCTCGAGCGGTTTGCCTGTTTTGGTCGCGAGCATCCTTCGTTTTCGGAGCAGAGTTTGAAGATGTCTCGTGTTAGGCGCCTCCTAAGGGGGGGCCGCCAGGGGTGTCTCACGCCTGTGTTGGTCGCGATCATCCTTCGTTTTCAGAGCTGATTTGGAGGATGTCTCGAGCGAGGCGCTCATTTTCGCCCCCCAGGGGGGCCAGATGTTGAGGATGCCTCGATCGGTTTGCCTGGTTTGGTGGCCAGACTCGTGGGCACAAATTCTCCCCAGGATGCCACAGGAGGCTCCAGCAGGCTCCAGGAGGCCCCAGGAGGCCACATGAGGTCCCAGGAGGCATCAGTAGGCCACAGGAAGACTCAAGAGGCCCCACTATTTCCCAAGAGGCTCCAGGAGGCCCCAAGAAGCTCCAGGAAGCCTCAGGAGACCCCAGAGGGCAACAGGAGGTCCCGAGAGGCCCGAGGAGCAGGAGGCCTCATAAGGCAACAGGAGTGGCTCCAATCCCATGTGTTTCACGCATGCTCCTATAGATTGGGCCTCACCTGGAGCACGAATCCTTGGTGGTATACGTATGTTTCTATTGATTGTCCTCCTCCTGTGTGTACAATCCTAAATGTTTTACGTATGTTCCTTTTGATTGGGCCTCCCCTGGGGCACGAGTCCTTGATGTTTTACGTGTGGTCCTATAGATTGCCCTTCTCCTGCGGCTACGATGCTACGGGCCCCAAGAGGCTCCTTGAGGCCCCAGGAAGCCCCAGGAGGTTTCAGGATGCCCCAGGAGGCCCCAGGCTCATGTGTAGAGACGCGCTCGTACTACTGAGTCTCATTCGCACTCCAGTTCATTCGCAATTATATTCATGACCAGACCGTCACAACTCAAGCCCGCTTATATTCGAAAACTCTTGCGCCTAGACGCTCACGGCGGACAGGTCCATGCGAATAGATGCACATATGTGGAGCTCCACGCAATGAATAATTGATGAACGAGTGCGCGCGCATAGTATTTTGTGCAGAGGATGGCGGGGGGGGGGTCGATACTGGCCTGGATGGGATAGTATGATTTCATTGGTAGGATGGACATTGGGTCAGACTCATATGTGTTTTGCATCGGTTCCCGGGGGATCTTTAACCCCGACGGGAGGGAGGGTGGTAGAACCCATTTTTTCCCCAGAAAAGAGAATACACTTGCCGAGCTTGAAGTTGTCAACTCCACTGCTCACGCAGTCATCCCACCCACCCACCCACAACTTGGTTTGCAACACGCATGCGGAAGCGACTGCGATGAATGTTGGGTGTTGGCTGGTACGTTTCTGCGGCCGCTCTAGCCCGCGCATGCTCGCGCGCGCAGCGGCCAACTGGTGGCGATGCTAGTGGCGATGCTGACAGCGACGGCGGGGCAGCCAGTGACGGCGCCGATGCTGATCACGCCGACGACGATGACGGCGTCCTCGCGTCGGTGATGAAGGTTTCGGAAGAAGTTCGAAATGCGCGCGCGGCAGACGCGCGAGAGTGGCCCGCATGGTATTATTTGACACGCGTCGTACCACCCCAGCACGCGCGCAAGGGCGTTCGAACGATTTCGACATGCGCGCGCACGAAGCCCTATTAGTTGCATTTGATGAACATGATGAAAAACCAATGGTTTTCAAAATAATGTGCAAGAACGCGCGCGCAAGCTTTTTGGGGAATTCCGTGTTGCGAAACCTGGTGTTCTTATGTGTTTTTGGGACTCTCGATTTTGAATTCCTTACGAAACCAACGGTTTTTGAAGGATTGTGGCATGCGCGCGCGACGACGCGCGCGTGTACTTCGTCTCATTTTTTCGCAAGGGATTATTGACAACTGGCGATTTGGGATAAACGAGTGCGCGCGCATAGTACTGTTTGCAAGGGATGGAGGGGGGGGGGTCGATACCGGCTCGGCTGGGATGATACGAAATCAAATTTAGGATGGACGATGGGGCATAATCACATGCAAATTGCAATGCGAAAAGATGGGCCAATAAACCTGTGGGGTGGTGGTGGATCCGAAATCTTTTTTTGAGAGGAGAATGTATGCGATGCGACCTATGTAATGCAGTCTATGCGATGCAATCTATGTGGTGCGATGTATGCGCTGCAACCGATGTAATGCAATCTATGCGGTGCAATGTATGCGATGCGGCGACGGCGACTGGCGGCACGGGCGGCGACGGGCGGCGACGGCGACGGGCGGCGACGGGCGGCGATGGGCGGCACGGGCGGCGACGGGCGGGGATGGCGGCGACGGGCGGCGACGGCGATGGGCGGCACGGCGGCGATTTTGCGGCGAGGGCCCCGAGATGGTTAGCAGAAGTAAGAACCCCTAGTGCTGCCAGCACTTTCGGGAACTGGGGCCTTCAAGGAGCATGTCCGGGCCGTTTCGAAGGTGTTGCTGGGGAGCGTCCTGGAGGCCGTTCGGGAGCCTCCTGGGAGCTCTTTAGGGGTTTGCTGCCTAAGGGTTTGATGGGCTGTTCGGCTGCATTGGAAGTCCCTGGAGACGTCTTGAGGGTCTGCGGGGTCGTCGTAGGGGCTCGTCTTGGGAGCTCCGTGGGCGCCCTCCGGACGAACTGGGAGGCTTCTCGTGGCGGGTTGGGCGCATTGTTGCTGGAGAAGCGATCGTAAGAGGAAGCGACAGTCGTTCGGAGCTCCTGTGGCGGAGGAGAGCGAGGACGGGGAGGAGAAGGAGGAGGAGGCGCAAGATGATTTGAAACAACCACATCCCAGAGGCCTTCCAGTAGACTGCGAGGTAATTTCAGGAACATGTTCGTGTTGGGAAGCGTCCCGGAGGCCGTCTGGGAGCCATGGGGGGCTTCTTGGGGGCTTGCTGGCAGTGGGGGGGGGCGGACGGGCGGGGAGCGCTCCAAAGCTGGCCCTCTTGGACCCCCCTTGGGGCCGTCTTGGGGGGCTGTTCGGCCGTCTTGGGAGTCCCCGCCGCCGACTTGAGTCTCCAGGGCCGTCGTAGGGGCTCGTCTTCGGAGCTCCCTGGGCGCCCTCCGGACGAATTGGGCGGCTTCTCGGATCGCCAACGGAAGTGCGGGAAACACCTGCAGACACTCAATAATTTCCGTCCGTGGCCCTCTCGGAAGCCACGCAGGAGCTTTGTGGGACCCGGCGCGGGCGGGCCTTCTCGGGCCGTCTGGGAGCCTTCCTGCGCGGCAGGGTGTCGCTCCGGGGGCTCTCTCGAGGCAGGTCGTCGGCGCCGCCCGAGCGGGGCCGCGGAGGCGCCACCACCGCGAGCCCGGCGGGCGGATTTCATGCCCCCACCTGGTACGCGCTGAGTCTGGTGCTGTAATACAGATGACGTCGGGTTCCAGTGTCGCCTCTCGTATCTCGCTGAGCAGCGCCAGTGCCCGTTGCCACTGATCGCCCTTCTCGCACGCGCTGATCCCAGCGCTGTAGGTGACTAGTGTGAGCTCGTGGATTAAGTCCACGGTGTGCTGAACCTGGGGCTCGCGCACCGTGGGTGAACAGCTCATGGAAGTTGAACGGCTCGGGCGTCCCTGGGGCAGTGTCGGGACCGTCTTGGGGCCGTCGTGCCAGAGGGCACGAAGAGGGCCCCCAGAGGGCCCCAAGAGGGCTCCAGGAGGTCTCCAGGCCGCTGCCGGGCGCGGGCCCACCATTCTGTCACGAGAGGCCTTTCTGTGGCAGAATGCACCTGGCCCTGTCTTGGAGGGGCCCGAAGGCCCTAAGAGGGCCGCAAGAGCGCCCTCGCCGCAAGAGGGCCCCAAACCGCATGTACTTGATATGCTTCTTGGGCTTGCGAGAGGGGCACCCACGTACATACGTCATGGGGCCTTTTCGGGGCTCCCTTGGGGCCCTCCTGGCCCCCTCTTGGGGCCCCTCGGGGGCGCTCCCACCCTGTCCTGGCCCCCTCTTGGGGCCGCCATGGGCGCCTGAGGAGCCGTCCTGGCGCAGTCTTGTCGGCGGTGGACAAAACTCCCTTTAGTAGACCTCCCCTTAGTGAAAACGGCCTGGGACCGAAACCGACGGAACTGGACCCGCAAAAATGACGGCCGCGACGCCCTTTCGCGAACCGAAAACGGCCAATTCCTTAATCGACGTGTCAGGGTAGGAGGTCTGTCCACCCCCGATCTTGAGCCGTCTTGGGGCTCTCCCGGCAGCCTCCTGAGGCGTCTTGGGACGATCTTGAGGGCTTGTCTGGCCGTCTTGGACGCTTGGAAGACGAAAAGCACAGGAACTCCTGAAATGTACGTCTTCCCTCGGGATTGGGACGATTTTTCCTTGTTCGGGCTCTCCTGGGGATCTCTCTGGAGCCCACTTGGAGCATGTTGGTGGCCTCTTGGGCCGTCGGGCGGCTGTCTTGGGCGTCTTCGAGCGCTCGGGGCCCGTCTCGGAGGCCCTCTTGGACGGTCTTCGGCCGTCTTCGGGCCCTCCTCGGGGCCCCTGGGAGCTCCGAACGCCTGCCCGCAGAGGGCCGAGCCGGGCCGAGCCCGGCGTACTGTGGTATCGATGACGTCGGGCTCCTGCTTCGTCTCCCGCATCTCACTGAGCAGCGCCAGAGCCCGCGGCCACTGCTCGCACTTACCGCACGCGCTGATCCCTGCGTTGTAGCTGACTAGGGTTGACCCGCGGCCTTCCGGCCGCGGAATCTGCCTGCCATGGTGTGGACACCGCAGTGGGGCCGCTCAGGCGCTGGGGGCACGGGAGGATCACCGATGGGACGCTGGAGTAACTGTCCATTTGGTTTACTTGGGCTGCGCGTTAGGAGCCTTCTCGGGGTGTCTGGACACTCTTGAGACCTTCTTCGGGGCATGCTCGGGACATCTCTGTGGCCCCTGTCGGCTTTTGGGCCATTTTGGACGCCCTCTCCTTTGGGCCTCTTGGGGGCCTCTTGGGGTCGTCTTGGGCGCCTCTTGGGCAGTCTTAAGCAATTTTGGATGTTCTTGGGCGCCTCTAGGGCTGCCTCGGGCCCGTCTTGGGCCGCTCTTCGAGCCCTCTTGGGCTGTCCTGGGCGCTGTCCTGGGGCCGCCTTGGACCGTCCTGGGGCCCCCTGGAGGCCCTCTTGGGGCGATCTTGGGGGCCGGTATATGCGTTTTGGGCTCCGTGGGCACGAGGAATGCGAATATGTTAAAATTCTGCGTTTCTCCAGGTTTGGGGCGATTTTTGCTTCTGGGAGCCCTCTTGGAGGAGCTTGGATGCCCCTCGGGCCGTCTGGAAGCACGTCTGAACGTCCTGAAACCGTGTCGGGGACGCCTGGGGCCGAGGCGTTCTGACGCGCGCTGGAGCCGCCCAGAGGCGCGCTGGGGCGCGCCCGCGGCGTTCCAAGGGCCCGCCGAGGCCGATCTCGCACACTTGGCAGCTTTCCCTTCCCGCGCGCGCTGGTGCCAGCCATAGGGCTGACCCGAGGACTCCGTCCACGAAATCTTTCTGAAATGGTTCTCGGGGGAGCGGTGAAGATGATGCCGAAACTGGCCATCGCTCGGACGTCCATTCCCTGTGTTTTTTGTCGGTTTCGTGCGTGGTTTTTGCGCCACATGATCAAGGATGCTCCTTGCCGAAGGAAAAATGCACACGTCCGAGCGGTGCCAAGGAAAGGCTAGCCGCAAGGGCCCGCCTTGGGGCCAGCTTCGGAAGCTCCGGGGCCGCCCTGCGGCGGCCCGAGAGAGGCCCCTCGAGAGCAGTCTGGGGCCGCGCCTGCCCCGACGTGGCGAGACTTTGGCATTCTTTCGATGACCGAAAAGGGAATCTATGATTTTCGCAGGCCTAGAGGTTGACACCAACACCAAGATCGGTGGCGTGCCTCCACCGAGGGAAGAAGATCCCGATCTCAGCGATGGTGGTAATATTCTGGCTTCCAGGGTGACCGACATATTGCCACCAACACCGAAATCTAAGATCATCTTCCCCCTGTTGAGGCAACCCCCCTGTGTTGGTGTTGGTGCCAATTTCTAGGCCTCCAAGATTTGGGCATCGTGGGACCCTCAGCAAGGACCTCCTGCGCGGTCCTGGTGGCCTCGCGGGCTTTCTTCGGGCGCTCCCGGTCCATCTTGGAGCCACGCTGGGAGTCTGGGGTCGTCGTGGGGCGCGCCTTGGACTCTCTGTGGCAATCCTTGAGCCCTGTTGGGGCTTTCTTGGGGACCACTCGAGGCTCGCTTGAGCCGTCTTGCTTGGCGCCTCCAGGGCTCCTGATGGGCAGGCGAGAGGTTTGCAGAAAGAGCATCCTGGGTTCGCTCCCTAACCCCACCTTGGAATAACCCCCCCTCTACGGTCCACCGCTTGCAGGGCACCCAAGAAGGCTCCAAGAGTTTTTCTTATTTTCGCAAGAATTTAGCGAAAATTGCTGTTGGGTTGGACTTGCCGTCTTGTTCGATGTTTATTGAATTGGACGCCCTCCTGGGCACCATGGGGCCCGCGGCTCTTGATTGGGCGGCCGAGAAGCTCGCAGAAAGGTTCTGGGATCGCGGGGGGAAGCTCGCAGGGCGCTCCCAAGGGAGCTCAGAAGAGCTCCAAGAGGGCTTCAAACCGAATAAGAATTCAACAAGAAACCACGGTTTGGGAGGCTGCTTTGTTGGATTTCTGTTGCAAGCGAAAGTCTCTGGGGCGTGTCAGGGGCGCTGGGCCCCCTCTATTGGAGGCGGCTTTGAAGCCTTTTGGGGGCCTCTTCGGGGCTGGTTGAGGGCCCCTCAGGTGATCTTTTGGGGATCTTCGGAGCATTGTGCGACCCTCTTGGGCCATCTGGGCTCCTCTTGGACGGTCTTGTCTCGGGCCGTCTTGAAACCGTCTTGCGCCGTCTCGAGCCTCTCTTCGGGCCATTGTGGGGTCCTCTGGGGCAATCTTGGGCGCCTCATTTGCCGCCCTGGGGCCGTCGTGGCCCGTCTTGGGGCCCTCTTGGGGGCCTTTAGGGCCGTCTTGGGCAATCTTGAGGGCCTTTTCGGGCCGTCTTGGACGTTGTAGAAAAAACGGCAATATTAGTCTTGCTTCTTGGGGCCCTCGTAGGGTGTCTTGGCGGTCTCTTGGACTGTCTTGCAGCTATCTTGGGCGTCTTGGAGCGGCCTGGGGAGCGTCTCTGACCGTCTTAAGGCGCTCTTGGGGCTCTCTTCGGGCGTCTTGGAGCGCCTTGGGACGTCTTGAAGCGGCCCAGGGCCGCCCCGAAGGCCCGCCGGGGCGCTGGACGAGCCGTTGGGACAGCGTCCTTCGCGCGCGCGTATGTCTGCAATTTAGTAGAGATGACGTCGGGCTCAAGCTTCGTCTCCCGCATCTTGCTGAGCAGCGCTACAGCCCATTTCCACTGCTCGCACTTCTCGCACGCGCTAATCCCTGCGTTGTAGCTTACTATAGTGTACACCCGTGGAGCAAATCCGCATCTGCCCTGGCAAGGGAACGCAACGACCCATCTCTGGGCCATCTTGGGTCTTCTTGGGCGCCTCTTGGGCCGGAGGCCGCCCCGGACGCACCAGGAACCGCTCCCAGATGGCACCCGGGAGGCCTTCAGGAGCAGCTCCAGGGCGCCAGAACCATGTGAGGAAACATGCCGCATTTCCTCACATCACATGGTCCCAGCCTCCAGGCGCAGGGCTGCCAGACAAAACCCAGCAACCAAGCCGTCTGAACCTAGTGTTCTGGCAGTTTTCGTTGTGATCAGACCACATCACACCAGAGGATATATCAATCAAGCATGGCCGCGAGGATTGCTTTGGCAAAAAAAATCCAGGCGCAGGGCTGAGAGGGCCCTGGGCCGCCCCGGGAGGTCGTGGAACCGCCTCCAGATGGCACGGCCTCCTGGCCTGGCCCCAACAGGGCCGTCTTGGGCCGTCTAGGGGCGAGCCGCGTTGAGATTCTCTTCAGAGGCCTCTTGGCCCTGCCTGGGGCGATCTTGGGAGCTGTTGGGCCGTCGTGGACGCTGCAAGGGCCTCAAAGTCGGGAGTGCTCGAAAATTCAAACGACCCAGCAGAAACACTATCGTTTAGCACTGGAAGGCCCTGCTGGGCATACTCTTGGAGCGCTCTAGGAGCCTGTTGGAAGGTATTGCGGCTGTCTGGAAGCCGTCTTGGGCTGCCCCTCTGAGGCCGTCTGGACGCCATCTTGGGCAATATGAAAGTATTGAGGCAGTCCTCGGCCGCGTCGGGGGCATCTTCGGCGAACTTGGAGGCCTCGTGGACCTTGGACTCGCTTGGGCCGTCTGGGAGGCGCAGGCCCTCCCGGCGGGCCCTCCCGACCGCTGCCACCAGAGCAGTGCACCACGCGCTGCTCCTTGTGCTGTAGGGTAGATTGCGTCGAGCTCCAGCTTCGCCTCCCACATCTCGCTGAGCAGCGCCAGCGCCCACTGCCACTGCTCGCCTTTTCCACACGCGCTGATCCCGGCCTTGTAGCTGACTAAGGCTGACCCACGAACTCCGCCCACGACACCTTTGTGGAATAGCTCCCGGAGGAGCGACGGAGATGTTGCCGAAAACCTCTAGAAGCACGGCGGCGGCCGGGGCGGCGGCAGCGCGACCGCACCTTCGTGACCGAGCTCTTGCAGCGCTCCAGCAGCTCGGCACTGGTGAACGGCTCGTTCGCCCCCCTCCTATTGGGGGCAATTTCGAAATCCTCCCCTGGATCCTGCATCCCGTCGGTCTTCGTTAGGCGCCGTCTCAGTATGTCTGGACCCTCTGGGGACTTCTTTCGGGTCATGCTCGGGACATCTCGGTGGGTCCTGCCGGCTTGTGGGGCAATTGTGGGCGTCCTCCTCCTCGTCCCTCGAGCCTTCATCCCGTCGATCTTCGATCGTCAGTCGCCGACGCTCCTCAAGAGAGAAGCATCGAAGGCCTCTTGGGGGCAGCTAAGAGGCCTCTTTTCGTTCTCCTGCGGGTTTCTTGGGGCCCTCTTGGGCCGTCTGGGGTGCCTCCGGGGCCGTCTGGGGGCGATGTGGGGCCGTCTGGGGTGCCTCTCGGGCGGTCTTGGGGCCGTCTTGGGGCCATCTTGGGCTGTTATTGGGCGCTCTTGGGGCTGTCTGGGGTGCCTCTTGGGCCGTCTCGGGCGCCTCTGGAGCCGTCCCAGGGCCGTCTCGGGCCGTTTGAAGGCCCTCCTGGGGGAATCTTGGGGCGGTCTTGGGGGCCTGCGAAGCCGTCTTGGGGACTGCGCAGGCGAAAAGAGCAGACATAGGGACATGGGGAAAATATACGTTTCCCGGAGGGGATGAAACGATTCGCTTCTCCGCGGACCAGCCGTCCCCGTTGGCAAGCCCAGACGAAACGCCTTGGCCGGGACCCTTGGCAAGACTCCTCCACCTCAAAGCCAGGCCTGCAAGAGGCCGCCCCAGCCCCAAGTCGGGCCTCTGCCCCTACAGGCCTGTCCCCTGAAACGATGTTTGCCTCTCGTGGCTCTCCTGGGGGTCCTCCTGGGCCGTCTACGGAGCCTCCTGGCCTGCCTTGGAGGCCCCTGGGGCCATCCTTCGGCTCGCTCGGGGTTCTCTTGAGGCGTCCGGCGCCTTGGGGCCTCCTCCTCCTCCTCCTCCTCCTCCTCCTCCTCCTCCTCCTCCTCTGCCCCGGAGCCGCCTCGGAGAGCCCGGGGCGGCCCGCGGGGCGCCCCGGAGGGCCCCAGGCGGCCCTTTGGGAGCACGGGGCCTTCTCGCGCGCAGAGAGCGCTGCACTGCAGGAGAGAAGACGAGGGCTGACCCATGGCCTACTGGCCATCTGCCCGACGGCGGCAGCGGCGAGGACGGCGACGGCGTCGGCGGCAGCGACGACGGCGGCGGCTGCGACGACGGCGCTCGCGGCAGCTACGACGGCGGCCGCGTCGTTGGTCGCGTCACGCGGCGCGGCGCCTGCACGCTCCCCGCGCGCAGCATCACGATGCGGCGTACTTCTCAGCGCACGCAGTCTAGTTCGGGCGCCGCGCCCGCCATGGAGTCGAGCCCACTCCGCCCTGGAGTCGCCTCTGCAGTTGCTGCCTGCAGCTGCAGGGTGCTGCTGCCTGCGGCGTGCTGCTTCTGCTGCTAGTTTGCTGTGCTGCTGTTGCCTGCTGCGGACTGCAATTGTTCGCTGTTGCTGCTTGAGGCTGCAGAGTGCTGCTTCTTGGTACCCTTGGTAGATGGCACAGCATGTAGCTCGTGAGTGGAGCGAGGAGCGAGGATCAAGGAACGAGGAGTCAGGGTCGAGCGGGGAGGTTGGGGAAGTGAGGAGCGATCACCGAGAAGCGATCAGCAAGGAGTGCGGAGCGAGAAGGGACGAGCGATGCTCGAGGAGAGATGATTGGTGAGGGATGAGGGAGAGCCGAAGAGGAGGAAGTGAGCAGACGCCAGTACCCAGAAGGGAGACGCGAGGGGCGAAGGTTGGAGCCAGCAGCGAAAAGAGGGAGGCACGGGGCGAGGAGCAAGGAGCGACGAGGGAGGCATGAGAAGAGGCTTGGCCTTTCGGGGTTGTCTTGAGGGCCATTTTGGACGTCTCTTGTGGCGTCTTGGGGGCCGCCTGAGCCGTCGTCCAGCGAACTGAAGCCGTCTTGGGGCCGTCTTGGGCTCCTCTATGGCCGTTTTTGATTCCTGTTGGGCCGTATAGGGGCGTGGCTCGAGGCCCGCAGGGCTGTCCAGGCTGGCCCAGGAGCGCCTTTCGGCCTCCAGGGGCCTCCTGAAGACAACAAATGCGATTGATGCGCATAACTCTCCGGCGCGCGCGGGCTCTTGCATTGTAGGAGCGATGACGTTGGCCTCAAGCTTCGTCTCGCATATCTCGCTGAGAAGCACCAGTGCCTGCTGCCACTGCACGCACTTCTCGCACGCACTGATCCCAGCATTGTAGCTTACGGCGTTGGGCTCTAGCTTCGCGTCCCGCATCTCGCTGAGTAGTGCCAGAGCATGCTGCCACTGCTCGCCCTTCTCGCACGCGCTGATCCCAGCGCTGTAGCTGATGACGTCAGACTCTAGCCTTGCCTCCCGCATCTCGCTGAGCAGCACGAGTGCCCGCTGCCACTGCTCGCCCTTCTCGCACGCGCTGATCCCAGCGTTGTAGCTGACTAGGGCTGACCCGTGGACTCCGTCCACGACATCTTTCTGGAATGGTTCTCGGAGGAACGGCGCAGATTGTACCGAAAATCTACAACACGGCGGCGGCTCGGGCGGCGGCAGCGAGACCGCGCCTTCGTGTCCGAGCTCTTGCAGCGCTCCAGCAGCTTGGCCCAGCGCACTGCTCGTTCACCCCCCTCCTATTGAGGACAGTTTCGAAGTCTCTCGGGGATGTGCGTCGAAGTCGAAGCCCATCTGAGGCGTCTCAGGAGCGCTTGGGGAAGGGCTCGGGAGACCATCGGGGAAAGCCACCGAAAGCGCCGGGGAGGCTCGCAAGGATCTACAGGGAGGGCCCAAGAGAGCTTCAAGAAAATTTGAAATCCTGTAAAATAGTTAGAGAAACCGCTGTTGGGTAGGCCATCACCTCCGGGCGCGCCTTGATGGTGCGTTCCAGTCGCATCACCGCCAACGGGAGGGTTTGTTCGCCATGTCCCATTCTGTTCGCCCAGAAGGTCTGTGGAGGCCTTCGGGCGAACAGAACGGGACAGGGCAAGGAATGGGGAAGACTTGTCCGAATATCCTGGGCCCCCCAGGTGCTCGTCCGAAGAATGCGGAGAGGTCCCATGGTCATATCAAGTGGCTGCTGTCCCAGGGGTCCGGTATGCTTGGCCCGAAGAGTTTGCCAAGGCCCCTGGGGGAACAGAATGGCACAGCATATCGGGCAAAGGGGGGCGGTAGCTGGCCTGTCAGACCCCGCGTTCGTCTTCTGCCCAGGCGGCGCGGGGCCCACGGGCCCCAGGGTTGGCGGCCCGCTGGGTTTCCTCTTGTTCGCCCACAGGGTTGGAGGAGGCCTCCAGGCGAACAGAATGGGGCAGGACAGTGGATGTGGGAGACTTGTCGCAAGCTCCCAGCCCCGGCAAGTGTGCGCCCGAAGGGTGTGGGGCCGCGTTGGCTCCCTCAAAGGGCCGTCTTGGAGCCGTCCATGCCCGTCTTGAGGGCGCCGTTTGCCGTGATGGGGCCGTCTTGGTTCGTCGTGGGCCCCTCATGGGCGCGTCCGTAGGCCGTCCTGGTCCCATCGAGGTCCTCGTGGGGCTGTCTTGGAGCCGTCTGGGACCGTGAGGGGGCCGCCTTGGAGTCGTCTTGGGCCCCTCCTGTGCGCCTCCTTGGGCCGTCCTGGGCCCAGCAGGGGCCGTGTTGGCACCCTCTTTCTGATTTCGAGGATGTTCATGTTGGACATATCGTGAGGGGTCTGCTCGAGTCTCCCGTCCCTGCAGCCTGTTTGGCTCGGCAGTGGGCGGGTGGGTTTCATATCGCGGGCGGAGTGCCGCCCCAGGACGGCGCGGGTTGGCGCGCCGCCGAGATTCATAGCGAAAAGGGTTCGCATCACATTCTTCATTTTACTCAGAGGCTGACGTCACTGACGACGGTGACGAGAAGGGCTCCAGGGTGCCCTTGTATTCAGATTGGTAGCGGGAGCAGAGTTACGACCACGGTCTACATTGTGGCGATCACGATCGACCACGGTCTACATTGTGGCGATCACGATCGACGACAACAATGTCGAGTGGTGCGACTACGACCGGAGGAGCTGCTGGCGGCTCAGCAGCACTCCGATTGGACGTCCCATCATGGGACGGAGAGCCCGACAAGCAGCTGGCATACAAGTTCGACGTCGGGCTCTTCAGCAAGAGCTATAAGATGCAGGACAGGTACGTGGTGGGACCCCAGCTGGTGAGAGCGCTGGGGGCAAGAACACGCAGACTGGCACAGGCGTGCCCAGACATCGACAAGATCGACGAAGTCACCGACGAGGGCAAGCTGACAGGATGGCAACGAGTCTTCGACTTCCTCTTGTCGAAGCTCGACCTGTCCAACGTGAACGAGATGGGGAACTCAGCTGAGAAGTTCTTCAACAAGCTCCAGCGGGAGCCGGGTGAGGGCTTCCCCGACTGGACGGCGCGCTGGGAGGCGCACGAGCGTGACCTCGTGTCGCAGCTGAAGGCGGTGGACAGCTCGGACGAGGAGGTCGTCGCAGCGCCTCTGAGGACGTGGTGGTACCTCCGCCGATCGCGCCTGAGCCCTGTGGCAAGGGGCGAGATCACCGCTACGGCGGGCGGCGACTGCGACTTCGGCAGGACGTACAAGGCGCTGTGCACGAGGTACCCGCTGGAAGCGCTAAAGGAGATCGACGGGGTCCGCGAGAAGAAGGACAGGCGCGCGGGGTTCTTCGGCGAGGCCGAGGAGGCCGAGCAGGAGGACCACGACTTCGAGGACAGGTCCGAGATCGCGGACATCGTGCACCAGCTGGTGAACTTAGCGGACGAGGAGGACTCGACCCTCTTCGAAGACTCCGAGCTTGTCGACGACTACGAGGACGGCCTCTACGCGGAGTTCAGGCAGCTGGGCAGGAACTTCAAGGACGCGAGGGACCTCATCAGGAAGCTCAAGGTGGCGAGGGAATACTACCCCGTGCTCGCTCCTCGACCAGCGGAGGGACCCCCTCGTCCTCGACAACTACGTGGTGGCCAACGCTCTTCTCGTCACGATGGTCAACGGTCTTCTCGTCAGGACGGTGGTCAAGAACCTGCGCGTGACAGGCGTAGGATGAGATGTCTAGCTTGCCGCAAGTTCGGACACCAGGCGAAGGACTGCCCCGAGAGGACGAAGGACCGCGGCAAGCCACAGCCCAACGAGATGACCTCGTTTGCGCTTCTAGAGCTCGGCGACCTGGTGCTTCTCTTGGACGACGTGGGCGGCATCTGGGCGATCCTCGACTGCGGCGCCACGAGGAGCCTCATCGGTGTGACGATGGCCGAGCACCTCATCTACGACATGGAGGAGAAGCACAACATACTGTTCGACGTGGTGGAGCGGACGCGGTACTTCACTTTCGGCGACGGCAGGCGCAAGAGCTCGATGGGCACCATGACGGGTGCCATCTTTCTCGGCGACGGCCAGGAGAAGATCGAGATCTCGATCATGGACAACAAGGTGCCACTGCTGATCGGCATGGAAAGGCTGGGCCCTGATCATACCAACGCCCTCATCGACTGCGGTAACGGCTACATGATGCTGCCGAAGATCTCACATCACGTCTTCCAGTGCCGGAAGATGCCCAGTGGCCACCTCGCCATCAACGTGACGACTCCGACGCGGTGGCAGAACATCCCCTAAAGCCTCCCGAACATCGTCGGGATCACACAGTGCAGCGCCCTGGAGGATGAGGCTAAGACGTCCGCGGTCGCGGACGAGGCGGTGCTGGCGCTGGCGCCCGCGGCTGGCGCGGGGGCCTGCCCCCTGGTGGATCCGAGAAAAGTTCTTTCCTCTAGTCCATCGGGGGGGCCCAAGAAGACTCCAGAAAAGCCTCACACCCTCGAGAGATCCTCAGAGTTCCCGAAGTTCGAAGACGCTGACGGGGGTCAGGATGTCCTAGCTGCACCCCCTGGGCCTGCTCCTACACCCCCCAGCCTCTCGAGATCTCCTACAGCATCTCCTACGAGGGCATCTTGGGGACCATCTTCGGGGACCAAGAGTTCGAGAGCAACGATCAGAGAAACCGAGACATCTCCAAGAGCGCAGACTAGTACGAGTACGGAACTCCCGACACGGCAATCTGAGCCTCCTCCTGATCCTGACGATTTTGATGCGCACCGAGCTCTTTCGGCTCGAAAGGGCGTTCAATCAGGAGGAGCTCCTCGATATTCATCTACGCTTCCATATCCAGCGGATGTCATGCCGCCGTGGCACATCTCGTCGCCTTCGGGTGTGCCACCGCCGCCATCCCCTACTACGGAGCGTCCGTGAGATCGCAGAAAGACTCCTTTCACGTCAAAGCTGCCAACAACAGCCGAGGCGAGTGCGTCGACGTCAGCTCAGATCCAGTCCGAGGCCAGGGTCATCCAAGGCGAGTTCGCTTCTGAACCCCCAAAGGACGTGACCACGAATGCTGCTGGATCGAATCCGACCGCCACCCTCGTCCAGGCGGCCAAGTCCAAGGCGCCGGGATTTCAGAGGTGCAGCTGCTGCGGCCAACCAGGTCGCAAGCGGAACGGGTGTTCGTGCACGGGAGGCCAGACCCACAAATGTCGGCTGGAGGAGGCCGGGTACCCGTCGCCGAACTTCGTGCAGAACTACCGTCCACCTCGTCGGAAGAACGACCAGCCACAAGCAGGCCTCCCCGAGTGCATGATTCCCAGGTCGGCGAGCCCAGAGGTCAGTTGGCTGTGCAGGTCGGAGGTGATCTACATGAGGTGGAGGCGGATGCTGTCCAAGGTCCTGAAGAGACTGGCGAACGACCCGTCCTCGGAATCCTTCGAGATGCTGGACGACTTACCCGAGAAGGAGATGGCCAGCAAGAGAGGGCGCGAGTGTCCCTGACCAGCGAGGACCTGGACATCATGCAGAAGGCAATCGACCAGTACGATCTGGACTACACGAAGGAGATCGGCGACGACGTCAACTTCCTGTCCCGCAGCGGCCGCTACGACTTGCTCGAGGTCTGCACGCCTCCGAAGTCTCGTCTCTCCCAGGCGGTGATCGACCTAGGTGGAGCCGCCTTCCGAGCTGGGGTACACAACGGGTTCGACATGGCGACGAAGACTGGAGTACGACGGCTTGCTCTGTGGATTCGTCAACATCGGCCTCGACGCATCGTCATGAGTCCTCCATGCACCGCGGACTGCCAACTCCAGAACTGGAACCAGAAGACCCCAGAGGACCGCGGACGTCTACGTAAAAAAATGCAACAGGCTCGTCGGATACAAGCTGGGTGCGAGACCATCATGTCGGTCGGGCTCCAATTCCGTGGGACCGAGATCGACCTGGAGCAGCCGCAGAGATCTCATAGCTGGGGACGTTCGGAGGCACTGAAGCGCATCAGGGAACAGACCTACGAGACGCTGGTGGCTGGCTGTGCTTACGGCCTCCGCTGCCCCCGCAGCGGCCTCCTCTTGCCCAAGGTCTGGAGGATCTGCTCTACCGACCCCGAGCTGCAGAAGGCCATCGGCAAGCGCTGCAGTAATCGCCCTGGTCGGCATGACAACCACGAGCATGGTGAGATCATCGGGGGGAAGGTGGTAGCGGCCACAGCGTTCTACCCCGAGGCGTTGTGCAAGGCCTGGGCGAAGCACATTCTGCGTGCCGGAGGTGGTGCTACAGCTGGAACCTCAGTCCTCTTGGCGACGGACCAGGACACTGACGATGGCATCTTCGAGGGCATCGACGAAGACGGCGACCAGGAGATGGAGGACCAGCAGGCGTCAGACGAGGAGCTCGACGAGGATGACCTCAGGGAGCTCTCCAAGGACGGCGGCACGCTGAGCACCAAGGAGGCCCAGGAGATAGAGCACCGCCTCAGCCGACTTCATCGCAATCTGGGTCACCCCAGCGTCCGCACCATGTTCAAGATTCTCAAGAACTCGGGCGCGAGCCTCCAGGTTCTGAAGATGGTCAAGAAGTTTAAGTGCCATGCCTGCGACTCCTCGGTGCTGCCGAAGGCCGTCAGAACAGCTGCTGGCGTAGACATTCCCGAGGTCTTCGAGGTGATGGGGAGTGACGGCCTCGAGTGGACCGACCCTGTTGACGACGCGACCTACCTGTTCACGCTGAACCTTGACGAGGGGTCTGGACTCACGCAGATCTTCAACCACGGCGACAAGTCCCAGAGGTCCGGCAACCGATCAGCAGCGGACCTCCTCGAGACCTGGAGATCCTGGACGAATCACTACCGCGCTCCTCGCCTCATTCGCTGCGACGCTGAGGGCTGTCACCGAGCGGAACTTACCAAAAGCTGGTGCAGTGCGCGCGGGATCGAGATGTTCATCGCTCCTGGCGAGGCGCACTGGCTAATGGGCAAGGTTGAGCGCAGGATCCAGCTGTTCAAGCGGACTCTCACTATGTTCAGGAAACAGAATCACGGCTGCGACATCGACGAGGCGATCAGCCAGGTCACGCATGCGATCAACGATCTTGACAAGGTCGGGAACCATTCACCCTTCGTACACGCCTTTGGTACTGGAGGCCATCGGGGCTCGGGCAACCCCTTTGCCATCGTGGACGACAGCAGCGGAGAGTCCCGGGGGCAGAGGCGACTTCTGGCACGTCAGAGCTTCATCGAGGTGGAGTACTCAGAGCGACGCCGACATGCAGAACATGCCCGCAGCCGCGTGACGACTCGCTGGAGCACCGGCGAGCACTGCTACTACTGGCGGAAGGGCCGTGGTCCTGTCAAGGCAACCTGGTATGGTCCAGCGCGCGTCTTAGTTCAAGAACAACGGGTACTTGCAGGCTCTACACGCCCAACTTCAGTCGTGTGGATCTCGCACGGCGATGTTCTACTTCGGTGTGCTCCTGAGCAACTGCGCCCAGCTACGGAGGCCGAGCGAATGGTCGTGGAGCTCAACAATATGGAGGGACGCGGGGCTACCATGTCCGACTTGATGGAGGTCGCCCGCCGCGGAACGTTCAAGGACCTCACCAACGAGAGCCGACCACTCATCCAGAACTTCGAACCGCAGGCGATCCAGCCGTCCGAGTCACCCGAGGACCATGACGATCGGATAGACGAAGAAGCTGCTGAACCTGATCCCTCGGACGTACGTTCTGAACCAGCAGGCGAGCCGACGCCACCTGAATCGTCTCCGCCTTCCCCTTCAAGTATCTCCTCCATCGAGCAGCCTGTCTCGAAGCAGTCTCGGTTAAGTCCACCGTCCAGAGCGAGCTCGGCCCCACCTGCTGAACTACCTCATCGGCGCTGGCGCATGTCCTCCAAGGGCGACGAGGCCACCTACCGACAGTCACCTGCTGAACGACGACAGGACCGACCTGGGCCCTACTCTGAGGGCAAGCCAACAGTCGAGGACAACGATGAGGAGCTCTTCTCTCGGATCACCTTCGACGGGAACCGGGGCGGCACCGACTTCGAGCTGATCGACGAGAACATGACGGTCTACTTCGAGATGGTCAAGTCCGAACTTGCGGACAGCCAGGGCGGACGTCGTCTCACTTCTCAGATGCTGGACTGCTTCGCTGCCAACCAGAAGCGGAAGGATAAGATCGAGTTTCACTGGGGAAAGCTTTCCCCCTCCGAGAAGGCGGAGTTCCGCAAGGCCATGACGAAGGAGGTCGCCAACTGGAAGCAGTGCAAAGGTCTCCGTCGTGTACCCGTTTCCGAGGTAAAGGACCCTGCGGACGTGATCAGGTGCCGCTGGGTGCTGACGCGCAAGAGCGATGGGACCGCGAAGGCGCGCCTCGTCCTCCTCGGCTACCAGACCAAGGACATCGGACAGGAGCCGACCGCTTCACCAACGGCCTCGCGCCGCGCTCGGAATCTACTCCTCACGGTCGCGGCCGCCAACTCCTGGACCATCGTCAAGGGCGACGTGACCAGCGCGTTCCTGCAGGCGAACGACCTGAAGAAGGACCTCTTCGTGGAAGCCGACGAGGCGCTA